CATTTTTTTTATCTCAACAATTTAATCAAGAATATTAAAATTTTAACTTTTTTCGTTATGATAAGGCTAATTGAGTCTTGCAATCTATTATACTTTATGGTTATAAATGAAATCTATACAAATTCTAATTGAGTCGAATCTGTACATCAAATATTTTTTTGGAAAATATTATTGATGAAATAGTATTTATTATCGATACAGAGGAAGAATCTATAGTTTTTGGAATTTTTGTCTATCTGTCTATCTGGAAACGCATCACGAAAAATCCACTAAACAGATTTTGATGAAATTTGGTATGATCATAACTGGTTGTCCGGATCAACGTATAGGATACTTTTTACTGCGGGAAAATATCTCATCTCTGAGAAATCTATACTAACCGTTAAAATGTACCTATGGACGAAGTGTCGCTAGTTGTCTATATAAATAATGACGTGAGTCGCTAGTTGTCTATATAAATAATGCGTTTTTAACGTGTAAAAAAGGATGAATAGCCACAATAGGAAGTATAAAATCTTACTTCTAATCGTACTTCTTCTTCCAACAACAACTTTAATTTTGTGGAAGCAGTAAAACTGATAGATTATCTAATCTCGTAAACAGTTCTTAGCATTTATGAGCTTTTTAGCACACAGGAATACTTTTAAAAGCGCCAAGTATTGATAAATTCAAAACTTAAGTGTTGTTCCAATAAAGTTAAACTTTATTATTCGACAAACTGCTTAAATAACATTAGTCGGATCTTTAAGTAATTTCTGTTTATACTGATCAAAAATTATGCTTATGACAAATCTATCCAACATGACTTTAGCTTTGAAAAAATTATGAGGCTATGGGATATAGGGGTATTGGATAAATATTAAAACCAAAAATAAAAAACTCAACAGCGCAAAAAGCGAACTAAAAAGATGAGAACAAGACGACGAAGAAACAAAGTATTGTTGGGTTTTCTTATTTTTGTAATTTATTTTTTTATTTACAGCTTTTTAATTTTGCTCAATTACACATTTTTAATTGTATTTAACAATTTCTTATCCAAAATTATATTTGGACATATATATACATAAGTTATATATAAGTTATGTATATTTTTGTAATCGCCTCTTAAAACCTGGTATTAAAATACTATAACTGATGCCTGGGATCCACTATTTTGATTTTCAATGAAATCTATATTATATGTATAGAATCTAAAGACGTATGTGTCATCAAAATTGATTAAGTTGTTTAGTAATAATGAGGGAACATAGGGTAGGACATACATGTTTACTCATGCAGGTCACACACATAACCCTCCTTTGGATTTCTCCGCAGTCGGGTAAAAATATACCAGCCTAAATCTTTTAAAGTCCAGAGCACTTTCGCATGGCACCGGTAACTACTTATTGCGACGGACATTTATTATAAAATGAAAGATAAAGCTGCTCTCCCGGGAAAGAAAACAGATGGTCTTTTGAGATGAAATAGTATAGTTGATTTTCAACGTGAGGAAAATTTTTATATTATTTTTTGAGATTTAATTAAAATAAAATTTCATTGTGCATCTGTAGGACCCTGCATTAGTTTATAGAGGCAGCACCACTTTTAGCAAATTTTACTATCATAATTATCAATATCAAATACTATAAATGTTAGTGAGCATTATCATATGTGTTCCTTCAGAGCGGTACTACTCTAATAGCAGAGTGGACATTTGGAGCAACCCCATGGTTGTAAGGTTGGGGCGTTGTGGTTGATTGTGTCCCCATGAAGACGGAGGTTGGGTTCTAGAGGGTTTTAATGGGTAGTACTGACCTTACTGGTGAGTCCCACATAACCAACTGTATGCAATATATATGCTGATAGTATGTAATATGCGTATATGCATTTCGGAACGTTGAAAAAATTGATCCTCCAGGTTATAGGCTACACAGTGTGCTACTTATCTACATGTAGGAAATCCAGTTTCGCATTTCTGTTTGTGTTTTGAAGTTTAATCATACACAGTTATATGTAAATGCGGAAATTTGTATGTGCATGATTTAGTACAGAAAATTTTATTTAGATACAAAGTTTGACGAAAAACAATTCTTGGAAACGCCTAGTCAGCACCTTAATTATGTACATAACGGTGTTAGAATAGTAGGTACATTTTTTTAGGACATTCATACACAGCGCCATCTAGTACCATGGTAAGCTACGAAGCTTGTGTTATGGATACCAGATTGTTGATACACTACACATATATAACTTTAAATACATACATATTATAAATATAAACACCCATGACTGGAGTACAAACATTCATGCTCATCACACAAATGAATGCCCTCAGCGGGACTCGAACCCGCGACCGCTGGTACAATAAGTAGGGTCACTACAAACTGAGCCAAAGCTGTTGTCGCATTCAAGACAATGCTTCCGTAAGTTAGTTGTTATCAGACAATTGCAGTGTAATAAATAAAATTATTGAATAGTAGCGACTCACCCTCGCTTCGCTCGGGTTCGTCCCTAGCTTGCTTCCCAAAACAAACTTTCATCCCGATTTTCACTCCTTTAAGGGATGATTTCCGGGATAAAAAGTATCCTATGTCCTTTCCAGGTTCTCAAACTATCCTCATACCAAATGTCATCTAAATCAGTTTAATAGATCCAGAGATAACCCCCTATAACGTCACAAACTTTACATCTTTATAATATTAGTGTACATATTTTAATTTTTTGAATAGGTACTCATTTGATAGACATCAAATCAATTAGTATGTCAACATATTTGTTTCATTTTATTTCTAAAAAATTAATAAATCCATTTTTAGTGATAAAATAGGGCATTTATTTTAGTTTTTATCAAAATCGGTTAAATTGCGTTGGCGTATCGTGTAGGTACTACTATATTCATTCATTTCAGATTTCTCTATATATCTACGCTTTCTTGAAATAATTTTCTTGTATAGTGATAGCTATAAGAGAAAATATTTAAATACTATTTGTAAAACAAACCTTAAATTTCGCAATTTAAAGGTTTAAACATTTACGACGACGAAATATTTAATCAACATTTTACGGTTTAAACGTTACACAAACATCGTATGTTTTGCAGGTAATTTGATTTAAATGTTAAATTCCTACGTTTATGCTGCAAAAATCTTTTAATATTGGTCTATATTTACTCGTAAATTCAAAATATTAGACCAAATTATCTATCTAACCATGGGTGGGGGTGCATCTGCTTCTTCGTATTAAATTACAAACTAATCTTTAAATGATTGACTTTATAATTTTTGATCATATCTTATTTATCATCTCATCTCTCATCTCATCTCATATCATCATCAACATGATATTTATTTAATGTCCCAATATATTTATTATCTTTTTTCGTAGATATCTAAATTTAAACGAGGATTATACTAATATAATTTTATTTCTTTAGCTTTTTCTATATATTTTCCTTCATGGCAAGGGGATGCAAGTGCAACCTCTTGCACCTCTGGTGCCCACCCATATATCTAACATTTATGTATACGAGTTTCATGACAACACAGAGTGAACATTAGTATCTGCTTATATAAAGGAACAATAAAACTGTCAGTCCTGTGCGTGATCTCTCTTTTGTAATGTCAAATTGGCATCTCATCGGACTATAAGATCACTGTGACAGAAATCTTGTTAGAAGGACATTATTATTATGAAAAACATTAGTGAGGTTGGGAAAGAAGATGTCACTCACTTTTACAGATTACTGTCTGTTTGTCCCGCGAGTGAAGTAACGCGAAAACAACTTTACAAAAAATGTTGTGTAATTTAATATTTTCTCTACTAATTCTCAGATAAATCAGCTTAGATTTGATCTCATAATAATAAAAATAATATTTTATTAGATTAATATTAATAATAAGGTTTATTTACAGCATTTTTTCCGCCATATCTATCTATAAGCTTAGCGTAGTATGTATGCAAATAATAGAAAAAATAGCGAAAATTTATGATAAAAATATGTAAAAGCATGACTAAGATAGGTTAAAGTTATTCCAAGAATCGATTTCCGAAATGTTTTGGGAACAGGAAAGAGATGACACACATTAGCTTATAATAAATAATTAATTTATGGAAGGAAAATTTTATAGGAGAATAATATATTTTAATTATATAAAAACATAATATTTTATATTTAAAAAAGTAAATATTTAAAATTATACATAGTTTTGAAATTATTTACCCAAAATGTCTCAATGGATCTGATTTTTACTAACTCCCTATTTTGTTTAAAATAACATGCCACGTTTTTATCAGGGATTGAGTTGAATATAAAATTTCCACATACTTTTTGAGCACACTGCATAAATACATATATATATATATATATATATATATATATATATATATATATATATATATATATAATATATATAATATATATATATATATATATATATATATATAGATATTTTATATATATATATACTACAATAAATTTTAATTTTTACTCAGTAGTTCCAGTGGTTTTTAGCATGTAAACCATATAAATATATTTACGACAGAAACCAACCAAAACCACTTTCAAATCCACTAATAAATTTTTTTACCATTAAATATAAAATATTTTTTTTTTTATATTTCACTCTATGATAGACTTACTTTATTTTTACAGTAAATAATTAAAAATCCCTCTTTCTCATAATCCATATTTTTTAAACAGCGCCATCTATGCCAAGATACAGTTAAATACGTCTTTAGCATTTTAAAGTTCAACTAAACTTAAAGTAGCTTATGGCCATACACAAAGATGTCACTTACACGAAAAACATTTTTTGTTTGAATTTCATTACAAAACTCTTCAACTTCATACTTTAGTGGGTAGTTTATAAATAAAAGCGTGTTTTGCAATAATACGTTTATGCATAATTTGTAGTAAATGAATACAAAAATTAAAAAAAAAATCTTTTTTTTAATCCTAATAGATTGTTAACAATTGATTGATATTAGAAATATTGATTAATCATAAATATTTAAGGTCTTCAATTACCACCAATAATGTCTCTAAGATTAATGTCAGCTAGAATTATGTTGCCGACGGTTAACACGATTGCGCTCAAAATTTTAGAGATCTCCTCCTGTTAATAAAATTATTTATATTAATTATATATTTTTATACGAGTATAATAAAATTGTAACTGTCTATGTCTGTGACCGTATCATGGAACAACCATTAGAGGGATTTTAGTGAAATTTGGTATGATGATATCTGGTTATTCGAGTCAACATATAAGATACTTTTTACGTAATAATAAGAATATATATATATATATATATATATATAGTCTTCAAATTTTTAATGATTATAGTCAAATATCGAACACTAGACCAAAGATTTTTAAGGTACACGTGACTAACCTCGAAAAAATCTATCATTTCTACTGTTAAGTTCCTCAAAAATTCTGAAACAAATTCGCTGCTGGCTTCATTGTTAAACATTCCTTTGATGACAATCTGGAAAACGATAAAACGTAAGAAATTGATGGTTTAATATATAATATTATAGTTCTAATTTATAAAGTGAACAGAAAAATAATTTCAGTACACCGACCGAGAGTTTTACACCACCACAATATGTAACACAACAAAATGATGTATGTATGGTGCATGGAAATCTATATGAACGCAAAAAACGGAACCCTTAGGTATTAGATTTTGTCGCCAATTTCTTGAACAAAGTGATCTCTATTGAAAATGATTTGCTTTTAAAGACAATTTTCTGCATCTACTGTCTAATGCACTGGTACTGTATACTACCTGTGTAAGAGAAATTAATTTCGAAAATAGCATCTTGCTCCCTTTTTTTTTTTTTTTTTTTTTTTAACGTTGGGAAATGCATTTACGCACGAGGTGTGGGACTCACCGGCAAAGCCAGTACTACCCACTAAAACCCAACAAAGCCTTCCCCCGTCTTAATGGGGCGTCGCAGGATCGCTTACGCATTCAACTACGACGCCCCGACGGCAGGTCTGCCAAAGCAGACCACAACAACCACGGGGTTGCTCTAAGGTCCACTCTGCTATCAGAGAAGTACCAGGAGCAACCCGCATGGTACACCGCCCTCCGAAGAGGGCCACCTCCCACCGAAGTGGGCCACCTTCCTGTGCGTTTCTTGGCTTCGCGCCCGGTTGGGTTGCCGGGCACTACTGAGCCCCCCCACCACGACAAGGTGAACGCACGTTGGGGGGGGGGGGGCATCTTGCTCCCTAGTACGACCTATTTTTAACCGACTTCCAAAAAGGAGGAGGTTCTCAATTCGTCGAAGTATGTATGTTCACCGATTAGCCTGAACCGATTTCGATTTTTTTTTTGTTTCGAAGGGTATACTTTCCAGGTGATCCCAATTAAATTTTATCGAAATCAGTCAAGCAGTTTTTTTTTTAAATAAACAATAAATATTTTTTTTAAATAAATTGCTAACTCAAATATGTTATTAAAAAACTTTCTTCTTACAAATTACCTGTATTATTACGTCTACACTAAAAATGGAAAATTGAAAACTTAAAAATATAAGCAATTTTCGAAGTCGGTGCCAGCCGACAACATTTTAAGATAGGAATATCTAATAGGTAAATATGATTAGGTTATAGGTATGAACAGTATAATATAGTTTAAATATTATACATCAATTTGTGATGTATTTTACGTATCGAAATATATTAGATTTGCTTTGCATCGGCTGGCACCGATTCCGAAAATATCTGTTTAAGTATCTATTCTAAATGAAAACCCCCGTTTAGTTATTTTTTACATTTTAGTGCCTGGAAGTCGGTTTTTTTTTAAGTTTTTATGACAGTGACTATCAATAGGGAAAGTGAGATATTTTTTTAATTTTTATTGCTTTTGAATTAAGCCTATATCAATATTTTTAATGTAATTTGTTTTTAATTAAGAAAATAATTATTAAAAAGTATAAATAGAGGTGGGATATTCAAAGTATATATATTGGTTAGACCGAGTATGACGTCAAAGTATTATCATAACAGAGCGATTAGCGATTTTGGCGCTACATATTGAATCGTCATTTTTCTGTGTATGCTTGTCATACTGTGACGTCACGATAAGCGCGCGAAATATAGGTTTAATATTTTTTTTTACTAAATTTTATTTTTTTGGAGCTAGACATTTTTTTACAATTATATAACGATGTTAGCTATTGTATAAAATGTAAAAAAAATCTCGCACATTCCCTATTTGTTTTAAAACTGCCAATGTTCAGTTGCGTAATTTTATCTAGACACGTGTTTCTAGTCTAGATAGTAGGAGAAACATGGAGAATACTACATAATATATGTTATGTGTACTTTAAGTGCTAAGAGCCCTTACTAAAACGAACTTTAAAAATACGAATATACTTACTTTAAAATCATCCAATCCAATACTAATGTGACATTCTAGAATATTTATAAAAATACCCTCACTAGTAATTCTGGGACCGACAACTACATGACCTTTGATTCTAGGTTTTACTACTTGAAGTCTGTGGACATAAAAAAATAATATATTACATATCTATACATATGAATGTAAAATAATAAAGTTTTAATAATTAATTCAAAAAAGATGACTTCCAATATACACAACTATAGCAAAATAATAAAACACGACAAATGAAAATATTATATATTTTTTTCTTATTATTATTATATTCTTAATTCGTAAATATTTCTATATTACCTACATTCATTACGTAACATCCAGTCTAGTAAGTATTCATTTGTAATTATATATGCATATAAATATCAATTGCTATACGTATGACGGAGCATTACTTGAGAACAGCTCAACCGATTTAGCTCATTTCTTTTTCGTTGCTTGTAATTGTAAAGGTGTGTATGATTTTTTTTTCTGGAATTAAAGTTGGAAAAAAATCACCGGAAACCTCGGTGGATGGTATGAATTCAATTCAATTTTCTTGGATTCAAAGCGAGCCAGTTGAGCACTCCTTGAGAAGAACGTTTGCCTATCTACACTAATATTATAAAGTTTCTAGGGGACGTTCTAGGCGATAATCTCTGGAGCTGGATAGCTTGAGACCCTGGGAATGACGTAGGATACTTTTTATCCAGGAAATGATCCCTTAAACGAGTGAAAATGGGGATGAAAGTTTGTATTGGGAAGCAAGCTAATAAAGAAAATAAACTTACGACATATCGCCTTTGCCGTAGATTTCTCCACCGAAAATTTTTAGCCACATATCATAGCTTTCTGTAACAAAACAATATATAGTCCAGGATCTCGGGTAGGCATTTTTACAATTGATTAGTATCAAGCTAAATTTCCGTGAGTAGTTTCATTATGATGAGACGCCCAACAATTTCTTATACGATTTTTTTTATTGTGGTACCTAACGTAGCAGGGATAAAATATGTCGATTTGACGATTCTCAAAAATTTATTACTAGAGAAAATAGAAAAAGTGAGTGGGTGTGCATCGTTTTTATTCCAAAAAGTCAACTATTATTTAGTTAATTAAACATACTAGCGGGCACATTTGAATAGGCACCCCGGTCAAAACATATTGTCCCTTTTATTATCTTATATATAAAATTTCCATGTCACAATGTTTGTTAGTGAACTCCTCCGAAACGGCTTTACCGATTTTTACCAAATTTTATATGCGTATTCAGTAGGTCTGAGAATCGGCTACTATCTATTTTCCATACCCCTAAGTGATAAGGTGGTCCTCTCAGACCCCACCCCAGGGACGAACCCGAGCGGAGCGAGGGCGAGTCGCTAGTTGTATATAAAAAATTGATTTCTATTAAATACGCTATGAACGTAGCAATCTTGCAATGGGATCTCGATCCATATGTATAGATTATGTGTTTTTAAGCCTAAATTTAAAATCGGTAAAATACTGAGTTAAAATGTTGTTTTTGCAGGTATCGAGATGTGTTTTTGTTTACGATAAGTATGCCGCTGGTGGTATTATTAATTAAGCAAAATGTTCTAAGTTTGTAATAATTCACCATACATGTCTGCAACCTCGCACCGAGCAAAGCTGTTGAATAACCAACGCTTAATGCCGAAGATCATGGGTTCCATTTCCGTTTAGGTAAAATAAACATTTATGTCTTTGAACTGTTATACCTTATTGATATATTTTTATTATATTTCTATTCTTCAACGAATGCTTCTGACATCTTATCTAAGCGCCAAGATTACTATTAAGTAATACATATTTACCTGCATTCACATTGACAGCAGGTATAGATAGGTCAAAATCTAATTTGTATCGTTGAAGCCAAGCCACTATCAAGGTTAATTCAATATGTTCCATTTCAAATGTACTGATATCACGTACTGTCATGTTTTCTATACTAACGAAGGCACTGAAATGGAGTACAATAAATTGTTTAATAATTAGTATATTTTATTGCTAAAACCAATGAAGAATATACTTTAAAAGGTAATTATGTTAATTTATTGAATTATATCTGCGTTTTTAGGCTATAGTCAATTATATATACAGTACCTGGGCCACCAAGCTTCGCTCGGAGTTTTTGGTTAAAAAGTACAATTTTCTTTGAAAAAACTAAAACCTTGAATAAATACAAAAAAAAAACAAAAAAAAATTATACCTTTGTATCCGACCGGGTTCGAACCCAGATACTTATTCATTCTTGCGCCTTGGTCGCTTGACCATGATGCTTATATCCAGGCGTGCGAAATTATCGAACATAATATTTTGGGTGGAATAATGCAAATGAAAAACGCATGAAAATTTGAAAACACGCGTTTTCCCAGACATAAGACTAATCTAGATCAATTTAACACCCCTTGTATACTAAATTTCATGAAAATCGTTGGAGCCGTTTCCGAGATTCAGATTATATATTGATATATAAATATACAAGAATTGCTCGTTTAAATATATAATATATGATATAACATTTTATTATTTTATATTATTTCATTTAAATTCATTCATTTAATGAATGACAAAAGAAATATGCATGCATGGGAGTGGGAGAAAAGAACTATTTTAATAATTTTAAAAATATGTGACATATTAGGGTGAAACTAAAAAACTTTTTACAACAGAGAACAAACCAAAAAAAAACACTCTTTCAAAACTTAATATGCATTCGCGCGCCGATATCCGTCGCTAGTGCACGGTTCGTTGGCAGTCTATTCAAGCGTCAATAGTATCTTATCGTTTTATTTTTGTAATTCTACCCCCATGTTGGAATATTGCGATAATGGATGAATTTAACGAAAGTAACATAATTTTATTGTGTTCAAGTGATGTTGAAGAGGAGACCATATTGAATAGTGATAATTGTGAGCAACTAGTGGAAAAGGAAGTATTGGCAACAATTATGGCGGAATCCCGCCCTGTGGAGAAAAGACAAAGACAAAACAGTGACGACACGGAAAATGAAAATGAAGAGTTTATTACGGTACAGAGACGGAGTAAACGCATACATAGAAGTTTGTCTAGCAATGATGAAATATATGAAGTGTGCTTATCTTCCAAACAGGCCTTACCTAAACAAATAGGTATGGCTAAGTTAATGAAATCATTAAACATTAATAACATACTTAGTATTAAATTCAAAGGTCCCTACAAGGCATTTTTAAGATTTAGTAATAAAAATGATGCTGACCAACTAATAAATTGCCAAAAATTGGTGGAATTAGAGTACAGATGTCAATCGACCAGTGAAGTTCAAATTATTTACGGTGTTGTTAAAGATGTAGACTTAGAGACGGAAGAAAAGGAAATATTGGACAATTTTTATTGTGATTCTCAAATTGTAAGCATGAGGAGGTTGCGGAGACTAAATGATAAAAATGAATGGGTTTTAAGTACAACAGTTCGGTTGGGCTTTAAGAGTTCTACCTTACCCCCGTATATTTTAGGATACGGGTGTCGGTTTAAGGTTGAGCCATACACATTTCCAGTGTCACAATGTTCTGGGTGTTGGAAGTTCGGACATTTGAGTAGATCTTGCCCAACGAAAAAAATCATATGCCCAAAATGTGGACAAGACCATGAAAACTGTGAGTCTAAAGATTTTATTTGTTTAAATTGCAAAGGACCCCACATGGCTCTGGATAAAAATTGTCCTATGTTTGTAAAAGAAAAGAAGATTAGGGAAATAATGTGTCAGAATAGTCTTACTTACAAAAAGGCTCTTGAATTTTACTGTCAGCATACAAGTAAGGAAGTGGGATTGACAGAAACACAAGAAATACAAAATGATTTGCATAACAGTGTCTTAGTTAATACAAATAAGATTTTAGAGACTAGATCATATAGAGATGTTTTAATTACAACAAAACAAATGCCAAGTATTGAGGAGCACGAAGATATGTCAAATGATGTAGAAGGAATGAATGATGATGATACTGAAGGTTATTCAAAGAATCCATGTAGTTCACAAGGTAATAAAAAAAAAGAGAATAGAAAAAAGAATTCAATTATAGTTCAAAATGTAAATACTGACGACACTAATTATCTACACACCGAGAAGTCAGCATCCTCTATAGAATTGAACAATAACCAGGATGTAGAGAAAGACAATTTAAATAAATTTAAAGATTTTTTCAGGAAGCTGAAAGAAATTATTCTATCGAAGAGAGACTTTAAAGAAAAGATATGTGATGCATTCTACTTAGTGATAGAAGAAATTTGTATCTCATTTCCATCGTTAAGAAAAGTAGGTGAAGTGGTTAAGAGAATGTTATCCTTCTTTGATGGATAATATAAGGATAAAGGATTTCTCTGTAAATATTTTACAGTGGAATTCTCAAAGCTTAAGGCCGAAACTGACAGAGTTTAAAGCTCTACTTTATAGAGAAAATATACATATCGCCATAGTAAGTGAAACATGGTTACAGCAAGGCTCAAATTTAAATATTAGTCAATATAACGTTTATAGACATGATAGGGTTGACTCATATGGGGGTGTAGCAATTATTACACATAAGTCTCTTAAAACCTTTAAAAGTTCTATTAATGTTAATAATATTGGTATTGAATTAGTGCATGTTAAAATTATGAACTGTAAATTGTTGAAAAATATAGTTTCTGTCTATTGCCCCTCTAGTGTTAATACAAGTCAAGCCAATTGGGATAGCTTATTTTCTTTATTTTCCAAGTGTACTATAATCGCGGGAGATTTTAATGGACAACATACAAGTTGGTCTGATAAAATAGACTCTAGAGGAAATCAATTGTTCGACAGCTCACTACAGTATGGTTTTATATCTATTAACGATAAAAGCTATACCAGAGTTAAATTTGTTAACGGATCACTACAACAATCGGCACCAGATATTACTTTTTGCTCTACAGATATAGCTATGAATTTAGATTGGACAACTATTAATGAAAATTTAGGCAGCGATCATTTAATGTTAAAGTATACTCTCCGTTATAAAGATAAGTTATCGTTTACTAAAAAAAGGAACTATAAAAATGCTAATTGGATAGAATACAAAAATATATTAGAAAAAGAATTTAATGAATTTGATTTTGAAACAAATGATATTCAAATTATGTATGATAAGTTCATTCAGCGAATAAATTTAGCTGCGGATAAAGCAATACCATATATAAAGTACTGTAATAATTTAGATCAAAAATTTGTTCCCAAACCTTTTTGGAATCAAACATTATCTAAAATAGTTGCTGAGAGGAGGTTAGCACTTAAAAATCTTAGAAGAAATCCAACCCCTCATAATCTAGATATATTAGAGCAAAAAGTAACTGAGGCCCGAATGTTAATAGTTAAAGTTGAGTCTGAGAGTTGGCATTCTTTTTGTAGTGATATCGATGAAAATACAACTGTAATGGATATGTGGCGTAAGATGCAATGGATGAAAGGCTTGAGAAGGGCTAAAATTTGTACATCAGATGAGAGAAAACAGACATTATTAGAGTCATTGGCTCCCGACTTTGTATCGCCTAACATACCATTATTAAGATCAAAAAATGAAGCATTAGAATCTCCATTTACGTACTCCGAATTGGACAATACTTTAAAACAAAAAAATAGTTCTCCTGGAGATGACAATATCTCTTACTCGATGTTAGTTAATTTACCCAGTATTGCCAAGCGTTATTTATTAAAATTGTTCAATCTTATATTTAGCTCCAGTTATGTCCCAAAACAATGGAAGATAGTACAGATTGTAGCCATTCCTAAGCCTGGAGACAATAATGGTAAATTAAGACCTATTTCCCTTATATCATGCGTAACTAAAACATTTCACAACATGATTAATAAACGTTTGGAATGGCACTTTGAAAGAAACCATTTTTTTTCGCCAAGAACAACGGGCTTTAGAAAGGGACAATCGTGTCTGGATAACTTAACTCGCCTAATCACTCATATTCAATTAGGCTTCACAAATAATCTTCAAACTGTGGGTTGTTTCTTAGATATAGAAGGAGCTTATAACAATGTTCTTATTGAAAATATTGTAATTACCTTGGATAACTATGAAGGCGGATCTTTGATTTGCAAGTACTTGTGGCATTTTTTAAATGAAAGACATTTAAGAATAAGATGTGATAAGGATAACTCCTTTTATGAGAGATGGACAAGTAAAGGTCTGGCTCAAGGAGACCCACTATAATAATAATAATAATAATAATAATAAATTTTATTTCAAGTAACCTAAGACTCATATTTTGTTAGTATACAAGGTGCTTATATTCTATGTTAGTACTTACACTCTAGATACATTTTAAATAGATATACTTTTACATTCACATACATTTATACTTTACTAACAAGAAATAGCACAGCAGTGGTTAACATATCTACAATCCAGCCTACTGGCAATTACCCTCATGATGCTGTTGGTACTACCCCGTAATCTATCCACCAGGGACCCACATCTTTTGCGCATCGTGGCATAGAAACAATTTATCCTCGCTGCTGCGAACATCCCTGATGCACTACAAAAACGGGGCAATCCCAACAGCACCCTAAAGGCATTATTATATTGAACACGAAGCGCATTATATGATTTTTGAGAGTACTTAGCCCACAGGTTGCACGTGTAAAAAGTTGTACAATATGCTCTGAACAAGGTGAGTTTAACACTATATGAACAACGTGCAAACCTACGGGCCAGCATATTCGCTCTCACTGACAACGCCCTTCGTTCCCTCTCTATATCCGTGTCGTCTTTGAGGTCGGGGGTCAATATATGTCCTAGGTATTTAAATTTAGACACCATTTCTAAAGTTACACCATTAAGGGTAATAGGTGGTACATTAAATTTTGATTTACCCTCGGCCTCAAAGACCATCACTACACTTTTTTTCGTATTGTAGATCAGTCCATGTCTTTCTACATAAGCCTCGCACATGGCCACTAGCTTCCTAAGGCCACAAATTGATGCACTCAACAGCACCATGTCATCAGCGTAGCTAATATTGTTTACACAAACACCATCCACGTAACAGCCGACCCTGGTACTGCTGAGCTCAGCGATCAAATCGTCCACGTAAAGATTGAAAAGCGTTGGTGAACTCAATCCCCCCTGTCTCACCCCGCACTCCAGCCCATACGGCCTTGATAAGGCTCCTGCCCATCGTACGTTGTTGACCTGGTTTCTGTACCAATATTTAAATATGTTGGTAAGTTCTAATGGGATATTTAGTTCATTCATCTTTTTCCATAGTATATCATAAGAAACCAGGTCAAAAGCTTTGGACAAATCTAAGAAGCAAGCATAAATGGGAGTCTTACGCTTTGTGTAGTAATTGACAGTATGCTTAAGACCTAATATAGCGCTCTCCGTAGACAAACCAGGTCGAAAACCGAATTGGTTATCATGAGGTTTTATGTAAATACTTAATAGCTGATTAAGCATACTGTCAAATACCTTCGATATAACCGTAGCCAGAGAGATAGGCCTATAGTTATTTTTATCCGTTAGGTTACCCGTTTTGCTTTTCACAATAGGCACGACTATCGTACGTATCATTTCACTCGGCATAAAACTATGACTTACACATAGATTGTAAAGCATCGATAGAACTCTGGGAAGGTGCGGCCCAGCATATTGAAGATGCTCAATGCTAAGACCATCATGACCAGGGGATTTACCTCTAGTCATACACTTAATTGTTTGAGAGATATCTTTATTAAGAAAACTTATCCCCATTTCCCTGCTGGTCTCAACATTAAACATTGATTCAGAAGGCCCCTGTGGTGATTTAACGATGAAATGGTCCGCGAAAATATTAGAAATCTTGACAGGCTCACAAATACCATTTATGCTCACGGGAAGAGACGGCCTACTATTCAGCTTATTCGTATACTTCCAGAATCCCCGAAAATCTTTCCTAGAGTAATGTGAGCTATCCCCTTTGTTATTTAATGTTGTTACAATAGAAATATCTCGGTCCATTCAGAATGTTTTTTAAGTCAATATGCTGATGATATTGTTTTATATTCTAGTCTTCCAAAGATTCAAGATACTATTTTAAATTTACAAAATGCTTTATATATTTTAATTAACTTATTGGATAAATTAGGCTTACAGCTATCGGATACTAAATCTAAAATATGTGTTTTTAGTAGAGGACATTGTAAACATAATATAAATATTACTATTAATGGATTGAACTTGGAGACTGTCGAATGTATTAGATATTTAGGCTTTTATTTGGATAGGTCTCTTAGGTGGGGAGCACACATAAATGAAATATGTTCAAAAACTAAAAGGTTTTTACAACTGCTTAAGGCACTAGCCGGTCCTGGATGGGGGATACATCCACAGCATTTGCGTACAGTGTACACATCTATGATAAGAAGTAGAATGGACTATGGCTCGTTTTTATATAACAATAGTGCTAATGTTCACTTATGCAAGCTAGATAAAATACAAAACCAAGCTATGCGTATTATTGGAGGATATATTAGGTCTACTCCTATTCATGTGATGGAGAGTGACCTCTGTTTGCCACCTCTTTATATAAGAAGGCTATATCTAGCTATGAAATTTTGCTTAAAATGTCAGTCTTGGTCTGAAAATGAAACTTTAAAATGTATATCTGATTTGAGTTTATCTTTGGGTAAAAGGTATTGGAATAATAAAAAGAAGCCTTTATTAAGCGTTACATATCTGGAAACAAAAAATGAAAATGTCAGCTCATCTAGCACTTCAGAGATGTTTAATTTAGATACATGGATGTCAAATATTAATATTAAAAATGTATGCAACTCCAAATTAAAGTGTATAAAAAGATCTAAAAATAGTTACGATATTAATATATTAAGACAAGAAATTATACAGGAAATACATAATAATTATTTTGGCTGGTATTATCTGTATACTGATGGATCTAAAGATAAAACAAACGTTGGCTGTTCTTTGTACGATCCAAATTGTAACGTTAATAAAATGTTTAAAATAACTGCTAATACATCAATAATGACTGTGGAGCTTGTTGCAATTTTGGAGGCTTTACGTTATTCTAGAGATGTGTATAGAGATAACATTGTGATTTTTACAGACAGCGAAAGTGCTATACTGCATCTTATAAGTTGCGTAAGAGGAACAAGGGGAGTATCTGTAGCCTACAAAATTTTACATGAATTAACTAAAATACAATCTATCGGAAAGTCTTTAAAATTGCAATGGATTCCCTCTCACATTGGACTAACGGGAAACGAGGAGGCTGATATTCTTGCAAAACAAGCTCCTCTCGTAGGGAAAGTTATAAATTTAAGACCAAATTATTCTGATTTTTTAGTTAAATATAAACAAGAATGTGTAAACCGCTTTAAAGAGTACTTTGACGAAAGATCAAAACTTAAGGGAATATGGTATAAGACTATACAAAGTGAGCCTCCTCGTATCCCGTGGTTCTGCGACTCAGGGTTGACGCGTCAACAAATTGTTATGGCTCTTAGGCTGCGTTCGGGACACGTTCCACTTAACAGATTTATGTTTCTAATGAAAAAATCTAATTCTCCAAATTGTGATTTATGCGGTGTAGAGGAAGATGTGCATCATTTCTTAGTGGAATGTGTTCGTAACGCGGATAGGAGACAGGAGTTGATGCGCCGTTTTAACGTTTGCTGGAATGATGTGGGAGTTTTTCAAAGCGCACTGTCTAAACCTAACTCAGAGATAGCCAAAACTGTATATCAATTTAAGTTAAAATAAGTTATAATTAGAGGTACTAGTATTATTAGTGGTATACATGTCTTAAGGGAACGATGGGACTGACATTTAGCTTTGTTGCTAAGAAGTCCCTAAATAAAAATAGATAAAAAAAAAAAAAAAAAACTTAATATTATGTTCGTATTAGAAAGAAGTAGTATTTTAATGTACGAGTACATAAATAAGTAATAGGAAAATTAAAGATATATAAAAAATAACTTATTACAAGAACACTGAATTATGCAGATAACATCTGCTCAAAATTGCTATTGTCTCTTGACTCTTTATTATTTAAAACTACAGCCCATAAACTGTCTTTATCCAAAAAAAATGACGTTATTTCATTGATACATACGTAATCACGTAACAAACGTTCAAACATTTTTATAAGGCTTCGTATGTATAATCTTAGTGGGATATAAATATAACATAATATATAAATAAGATCATAAAATATTTTTATGATATAATAAACTGCTAAAGATTGATATGATAATGATATGGCTAATCTTAAATGGTTACCAAGTGAACAATTATTATCTATACTAATATTATTAAGAAATAAAGTTTGTGAATTTGTGACGTTGTAGGGGGTAATCTCTAGATCTACTGAACCGATTTAGATGAAATTTGGTAAGAAGATAGCTTAAGGCCCTGGGAAGGACATAGGATACTTTTTATCCCGGAAATCATCTCTTAGTTGGTGAAAATAGGACTGAAAGTTTGTATGGGGAATCAAGCAAAGACGAACCCGAGCGAAACGAGTGTGAGTCGCTAGTATTACATATATCTCGTACATTGCTATTCATTCTACTGTCAGCTTAGAATTGATGAAATGTTTTTAGATATTGATGAAGTATTCTTTCCTTGTAATATTTAAGGCCTCGCTATTTATTCATGACCGACGCAGATTTCAACATCAGGGCTTCACGGGTTCGATTTTCGGGTAAACATTTATAAATACTTGTAACAATTTGAATAAAATAATTACAACATTGCAATAATTATCCGGCTAATATCATCTGATATCGGAGTAAATTCTAATTTTTTTTAAATATAAATCTTTAAAAGCTATATATTAATACATAATACCACATACATTACATACATACACATTACCGACTGCATAATAAATACTATATCCCTTCGTGAACTTGTTTTCAACTTTTTAGTTAGCTTTTATGCAGTCGGGATTTTTATTTTTAAAATATATATATTTTTATTAAATCGTTTTGAAATTGAATATATTACATAAATATAACAAAACAAAATAAAAAAATCTACAGTTGCTCTGCTACAAATATATGAAGTTTTGAAAAACTCGTTAGTTTTGTTATCAATTTTATAGTAAAACATCACAATACTGTTTTCGTCCAAATATTTATGAAGCTCGCTCGACCGCAAATTAATATATTAATTAAATTAACGTAATCAGTTAACCTAAGATAGACCGCCTACTAACATTTATATTGGAGTTACGATTAATTAAGTAGTGCTCGTCTATAAATAGTCGGTTAGAATGAAAAATGTCATTTTTTATATACAATTTATGTTCTTACTTTGGGATGCCGAGAATTTCTTCATCTACGTGTATTTTTTCTATATAAATAGGATCTAAGACAGGAAAATTGTCTGACCCATTTATCATTAGTTCCCTTAACCGTTCCAGTAACTGCAGAATTATTCGTTCACCTATACCATTTCTTAAAGCTTCATCTGTAAAGAAGTATGTTAATATAAGTTAATAAAAACTGTAAATGGTTCGTCCCTAGCTTGCTTCCCCATACAAACTTTCATCCCAATCCTCACCCCCTTAAGGGATGATTCCCGGGATAAAAGCAATTCCACTCACTCGCTTTTCATATTATGAGATTTAAAAAAATACGTTATTTTTTTAATATATTTTTCTTTTAATTATCTTCTATACACAGCTTGTCCTGACAATAACGAACACAAAAAAAGAATTATCCAATTTGGTGGAGTCGATCGGAAGTTATGCGCGTACGCACATTTCGGTGATTCATTTTTATTTATATAGAAGATTTCAATAAGAAGTCATTTCAATAAGCATAAAAACTAAATGCTACGCTTCATCTCTTCTCTGTTAAACACTTTCTACAATCGATATCGCTAGTAGAAAACCATATCTATTTTGAGAATAATTTTTATTAACACCTCCAGGTAAATTTCTAAGTAATTAATTAAATTTCTAAGAAATCTATTGTTAACTGTAACGCCGGCGTGTCCACGGTCGTTGAAGGATTAAAATTCTTCCAGCAGATATGCAACAATAAAGCAATAAATAATAACATATAGTTCCAATCATAGTTAACCATTCATGCTATTATCACTATAATATATAAGATTACACATTTTATACGTACTATAAAAATATAATTTTATATATACCTACTATAAAACTGGTATTTCGTATAAGTAGTTTCGAAATCAAAAACATTAATACTACGATTAGATAACGACCCGTAAATAGTAATTTATCTACGTTTCAGCTTAAGTTTTCAATTGCAAAGAAAATATTTTGATATACTGAACTCTATCGTCTGTCAACCCGCACTCGGGCAACGTAGTGGACTATGGCCTGATAGCCCCTCGTATTGAAGCGAGAGTTAAAAAGCGGAGGTTTAAAAGGTTTTCATCAAAAATATGATTCTATATTTGGAAATCGATCACTTTGAGATTCGCGTATATTTGATAAATCTTGTTTTTGACCGGCAATATTTTTATAGAGTACTATATATTTTAAAATTGAAACTAAAACTCACCTGCAGTAAGGAAACTCTCCTTTAGTATGGCTAGGTCTTCATTTTTATTGGTTTCTGTAGGCATTGCTGATGCAATGCCTATAAGCGCAATGAGTATAAGATCTGGACGCATGTTTCGGCCTAAAATAAAAATTGAAGAACAAAATAGTAGGAATGAATACTTTCTTAGATTTACGTGAATATTTGACAATAGTATAAAATGAAGTCGCTTGTCTGTTCGCTTACATCTTTTAAACACCTTAACGGATTTTAATGCAGTTTTCAGCAATAGATAGAGTGATTCAAGAGGAAGGTTTATATGTATAATACATGCATATTGTAGTACAGAAAAGCCGAGAAATTCAAAGATTTGTGTTTCATACTAACAGTTAAAACGTACCTAACGAACCCGAGCAAAGCGAGGGTGAGTCGCTAGTTTTAAATAAAACTATTTTTTTGGATTTTTGGTTTCCAACGTTTATCCCGTAGGTTGGTTAGTGATGCTGTCTATAAGATCTATACCACCTTTGAGATGTCTAAAACATTAGTCTTTCCCGTAACCATATTTGCCGTAAAGCATTCGAAATATCAGGAACCAAAAATCTAAATAAATCCGCGGAAAAATTCTTAAACATATTTTTATTTAAAATAATAAGAATCAACTAAAATTTTAGAGTCCGAATAGGTATCTATTAATTTATCATATCTTGTTATTAATCAGAAAAATAACTTAAGTTGCTGTAATTAATTTTTTAACAGTGGAAAATGCCGTAACAGAGTAAAAAAATATTTTATAATTAATTACATACCTTTAGTAAAAACCAATGAAACAAAATAGGGGTGTCAAATCAGTGAGCGTGTTCACACTGTGCCAATAACAGCTTAATTGATAACATAATCAGTATAATCCCTATCAAGCGTAGTAACTTATCGTGAAGTAAACACTTTTGACAAAACAGGTAAAATTATTTTATAATAATATGATCACTTATGGCTTACACGACATGCGCATATTGGGCAATTTACTGCCTCGGTGGTGTAGTGACTAGCATGTACGTCCACAGATCTAGAGGTCCTGGGTTCGAGTCCCGGGTCGGGCCAAATTCGGTTATTGAGTATTTCTGTAGAGTCTCAGTAACTGCCCGGAGTTGATAATTTGGCTGTGAGAGTGAGTGCTCGCTGCTTCGAAAGTATCTAATTAGGGTATGAAAACCCCCGTTCAGTTATTTTTTACTTTTTAGTGCCTGAAAGTCGGTATTTAGTTTTTTAAACGTTTTTATTTTTTCCATTTCTAGTGTATACGTAATAAGCAGGTAATTTGTAAGAAGATTTTTTTTAATAACATATTCGATTATGCCATTTATGTTAGTATGCTGCCAAATTTTATATAAAGACTAACATACTAAAAAACTCAGTTTTATTAGTAACACTAAATATCAGGCTCTAAAATCCAATTCTAACGTATTATCCAATTATAACGCTTGTCGAATGAAACCAAATAAGCTCGAACTCAAACTATTTACTAGTAACCGTTGAAGAATTTCACTATCCACTATCATATCAGCTCTATGATACCAAATAACTATATTATCATCAGAAATACAAAAACTTGCAAAGTCTCAAGTCGATATGACAATTAGAAGTAGGTGAAAACGACTAATTATATTTGTGAATATACTTCAAATTTCACGATTTTTTATGATCGCAATAAAAATGGTTAACTCTGTGTCAAAAAAAAAATTACGGGATCACCTTGGGGTCTATCTTAATAGAATACAGTTTAAAGTAGCAAAATCGGTTAAGCTGCCTTCGAGATATCGGTGAACACACCTCTTTTTGCAAATCGGTTAAACCGATCTCTAAAGTCAAAATTCAAACTAATTACTAGGAGCCGTTGAAGAATTCCAGTAACCATTAACATACTTGAAATGTCATGGTTTTTCCAGAATTTCCTGAAAATACTCTATGTTAAACAAAGTTTTATGGGACCACCTTGGCAAAATCGATCGAGCCGTCTCGAAGAAATCGGTGAACACAGTTTCAGTTCAGTTTCAGTTCAGTTTCAGTTCAGTTTCAGTTCAGTTTCAGTTCAATTTCAGTTCAGTTTCAGTTCAGTTTCAGTTCAGTTTCAGTTCAGTTTCAGTTCAGTTTCAGTTCGGTTTCAGTTCAGTTTCAGTTACAGTTCAGTTTCAGTTCAGTTTCATCAGTTTCAGTTTCAGTTCAGTTTCAGTTCAGTTTCAGTTCAGTTTCAGTTCAGTTTCAGTTCAGTTTCAGTTCAGTTTCAGTTCAGTTTCAGTTCAGTTTCAGTTCAGTTTCAGTTCAGTTTCAGTTCAGTTTCAGTTCAGTTTCAGTTCAGTTTCAGTTCAGTTTCAGTTCAGTTTCAGTTCAGTTTCAGTTCAGTTTCAGTTCAGTTTCAGTTCAGTTTCAGTTCAGTTTCAGTTCAGTTTCAGTTCAGTTTCAGTTCAGCTTCAGTTCAGTTTCAGTTCAGTTTCAGTTCAGTTTCAGTTCAGTTTCAGTTCAGTTTCAGTTCAGTTTCAGTTCAGTTTCAGTTCAGTTTCAGTTCAGTTTCAGTTCAGTTTCAGTTCAGTTTCAGTTCAGTTTCAGTTCAGTTTCAGTTCAGTTTCAGTTCAGCTTCAGTTCAGTTTCAGTTCAGTTTCAGTTCAGTTTCAGTTCAGTTTCAGTTCAGTTTCAGTTCAGTTCCTCAGTCCGCCAACACGCACTTGGCCAGCGTGGTGGACTATGGCCTGATATTGAAGGGGAGGTCCGTGCTCAGCAGTGGGACGTTAAAAAGGGCTGAATACATATACGTACAAAAATAGCTTTCTAAGCAAAAATTAGCCTTCTGAGTTATAGCTACAGAATGTATCAAATAGACCGTCGAACAGACGGAAACGGCGAAATTGTAAATTATTAATTTTGCCATTAATTGACTCTGAAATCGATTCAGTAGTTTTGGAGCCTATTCGCTACAAACAAACAAGCAAAAAATAAATATTTCCTCTTTATATAGTATAGTTTACCGCTCATAGTCTATACATCTGTACCTATCTATACTATTATAAAACAGTAGAGGTCGAATGTCTGTACATAATATAATGCAAAAAAAGCTGAAAACCGCGTCAGGGGGATGTTAGAAGACAAATTGAACAAATCCATATTTTTTATTTTTTTTTGTTTCTCTGTCTATTTGGCTAAATCAATAAATTTAACTTTAAAATCGATCAAAAACTAATAAAATATCGATAAACTTGAAAAAATAATAACATAAATATATTCTACGGCAAAAAATACAAAAGCAATGGTATATTTTACGTGAATTCCAGCTTTTATTATTTTTTCACGACTCGTTAAATTAAAAACTTGAGGATACCATCGTTTTCGTTTTATCCCGAAAAATACATTGGTGTAATCAGTTTATGAAACTTTGGTCAATAAAGTACGAAGTGTACTTCAATGATAATTGAAAAAAAGTAGTTTACAAAATAAAAATTATGGATTTTTCCACTTTTTAAAATTTTAAGGATGTTTTACAGGACGACTATACAATGTTTTTATTTTTTCAAAAAGTAGAAATCAAGGCAAAAAGAATGAGCCATATTTGATTTTTTTTTAAATGTAAACATACACTTGAAGTTAGGGGTGATTTTCAGCCTCTCGGGACCATAAAACATACTTTTCTCGGAAATGGCTACACATTTCAATTTCAATTTTTTTTAACTTATTATATGTATTTCGAAGATTACAGTCCCTTAGTTTCATGGAAATCAAAAGATTATTCTAGAAATTAAAATTAAAAACCAAGAAAAAGTAAAAAACCGAGTTTTCTGTAAATATCTCGAAAACTTAGAGGTTATTGTAAAAGGTGTTATTTATAAAAGTTGTAGATTTTTACTAAGCCTACAACTTTTGTACAAAACATTTTTCGATAGAACATCACAGTAAGCCGGAAATTGAAAAAATATATTTTGCAACGCCTTGCGTCCCCTCATTTCTCGGGGGTAGCTGGGCATCGGGGGCATTTTATGAATTTTTATTCCTTATATACCTGCTAACATTTTAAAATCATAAAATTTCAGGTTTTTAATATTTTGTTCCTAAACCGGATTCCAATTGGACTAAATGACTGAACTACAAGGGTCAATAAGAATTATTATCAAAATAAATATTTGCAAAATATATTTTTTATATATCAACTTCATAAGATAATATAACTTACCCTGGAATAGTTTGTTTTCATACTCAGCACTTTTAACTTCCCAAGGATCAAGCCCAATTTTCCTGATACCCTCACTAATTTGATTAATAATATTTCTGATTTGTTCCTCTACTACATTGTAGTTCATGGAGTCTGAAAATATTTATTAAAATTGTAAGTAAGTTTTTTATACATATAAAAGAAAACCGTTATGCCTGTTATCCAGTGTCTTTTGAGAAAATGCAAATTTAGATTCATTTCTACATGAAAGTTGTAGCAAACACTTACCAACATCAACTTGGGGGAAGGCGAAAACGCCTGCAACGACCAGAACCAGAGCGAGTATGGAGGACTTCATCTTGAATTAGACTGAAAAAATGTTGTTCTACAATAATGATGGCAATATATACTTGTAATATTATAAATGTGAAAGTTTGTGAGTATGGATGTATGTTACTCTTTCACGCCAGAACGGCTAAACGGATCTGGATGGAATTTGGCACAGAGATTATAGTCTGGAATAACACATAGGCTACTTGTTATCCCAGAATATGTACGGTTCCCGTAGGATAGGTTTGTCTTTGTTTTCCTAGAGGCGAACCCGACCGAACCGAGGGTGAACCGCTAGTATTGCATAATAAGCATATTAACATATGAAGTATAATATTCGATGTAATATTTTATGTGTTGAAAAAAGTGATAAAGAAGTTATAAAACATCTTACACGAAAAACCAAAGAGGCAAAAATTAGTCAAATATGGAAGCTGCAATTACGATATTACTATAGTACATATTAATTAAATTACTTGTTTTTAATTAGGTTCATATCTTACCATTAGATTATTCTATTATTACTAGATTATTCGTTTTAATTTATCATCAAATGGGGCCCTTACTTGGGTGGCTAGGACTTGTAACCTTAACATGTTATATGATGATTGTTCCCTGACCGATTCCGGCCACGGCGGCCAATCTCGTTGATACCAGCCAACTGCGCAGGAGATATTAAAGTGCACAAGTGTACGCGCAGACACAAGTGCACTCTCTATTGCTGTCACTCTCATACTCCGGTGGGACGACCACTCAACACGACAAGTGTGTGACCGCCGGCTTTACGTGCTCTCCGAGGCACGGGGGTGAAACACCACCAACTTCCCAACTCCGGGCTGTTACTGAGGCTTACTATACAGAAAGACTCAATAACTATTCTTGGCCCGACCCGGGACTCGAACCCAGGACCTCCTGGTGCGCAGCTGTACATGCTAGGCACTACACCACCGAGGCAGAAACATTCAACATGTTATAATATTATAACTAAGTTAAGTATAATCTATCAAATATATTTAAAGGTGCAATTCTTGTATATTTATATATACCGGCGATTATGGAAACGGTTCTAACGATTTTGCTGAAATTTGGTATGTGGTGGTTTTCGTTTTGCATATCGATAATTTCACACGTACTGGCATAAGCATCGTTGTCAGTCGGCCAAGGCGCAAGATTGACAGTCACAGGTTTGAATCCCGGTCGGATACGAAGTTTTTACTTTTGTTTTTTTTTTAGTATTTATTCAAGATTTTAGTTTTTTTACTAAAGAAATTTGTACTGTTGGCAAAAAACTCCGAGCGAAGCTCGGTCACCCAGAAACTTTAATATAAAACAATTAATTACTTAAAGGTATTAATATAATCCAATGATAAACAAAATAAAATATTTTTTTCTTACCTTGTAATCATAATGTCAATTAATAAGGTTTATAGTATCACACACTATCTATACTTATTTAGAAACAATATTATCGTATGTTGACGGGCGGATGTGATAATGTGAAAGTGAAAAAGTGAAAAAAGTGAAAATGAAATTGAATTTGTTCTTAACACCTACAAGGATTATTTTGATAATATTAATAGGATATGTGGTTTAAAATAGAACAATGGAAGCCTTACCGATTACTACATTATCTTATCAAATTTCTAGTACATAATTTATTAAAATAATAACATTTGTTTTTTCAACTTATAGCCATCCACTGCTGGAAGAAAGTCCCTCAGAGAATTAGCACGCTGAGATAGAAGTAGGCTGGTCATGTCTCCAGTCGTATAGATAGCTGATGGAGCCAACACATGTTAGTCTTCGCTTTAACACTTGTCGGCTCTATCAGCAACGTTAAATAAACGTAGTGTAGGACGTCCTGTTGTATGGTGGACCAACTACTTTGCCAACTAACAGATACGGGATGGGTACGGACTGCCCAAGATAGGGATGGTGAGCATTCTATGGAGGAGGTAACAATATCAGACCAAAACTAACACTAGCTGCTAATAGCCCTATTGAACATTAAAATTCAAAAATCTACTAATTGTCTGCATCAAACTAAAACTTATACAGAATTATCGAAGTGAAATATCTGAATCATCTTATACAGAATTATCGAAGTGAAATATATGAAGTATATGTAGGTCAACCAAATCTTTTTATTTACTACAAATTGATTTTAATTTTACTACAAATAGGTTTTAGTCAACGGCTGATGAGGGTACTGACTTTTTAAGCATATTTATGACATACGTTCATTATATATTATTAGTACATTCATATGTACAAATATAGGTTAAATTTCTCTAACTTATTTATTGTATGTATGTATTCAGCCCTTTTTAACGTCCCACTACTAGGCACGGGCCTCCCTTCAATACGAGGGGAATCAGGCCATAGTCCACCACGCTTGCCAAGTGCGGGTTTTAACCTGCTTCACTCGGTTTCCCAAGCGATCGCGTTACCACTAGGCTATCACTGCTACACACTTATTTATGTAAATGATTTAGTGTCTTACACTCATAATATTTAGTTTAGAACAAAAATATTACACCATGTTTGTAGGTCATAGGAACATTCATTTGTGAAAAGGAACGGTTTGTCTAATATCATTCGCACTGCTGCTATAAAAATAAAAACCCAACTGATACGTTATATGTATGTACATCTTACGGCAAGGATGAAACGTGCCTACGACTGCATAGTACCATATTCCTTTGTCAACTTGTTTTCATCTTCTTAGTTAGCTTTTATGCAGTCGGGTTTTTTTATTTTATAATATTCTAGCGACTCACCCTCGCATCGCTCGGGTTCGTCCTTAGGTTCATTCCCCATACAAACTTTCATCCCCATTTTCACCCTCTTAAGAGATGATTTCCGGGATGAAAAGTATCCTATGTCCTTTCCAGGGTATCAAACTACCTTCCTACCAAATTTCATCTAAATCGGTTCAGTAGATCCAGAGATTACAATGTCACAAACTCACAATTCACAAACTTTACCTCTTTATAATATTAGTATAGACTAGCAGAGCCCGCGGCTTCGCTTGAGCTAAAACTAAAAAAAATATGTATTAAAAGTAGGTTTCATACAAACTTTCATCCCCTATTTTACCCCTTTACAGGATGAATTTCGAAAAATGCTAAAACACTTATTTATTTAATGGAAGGGCATTAATACCAAGTTTCAAGTAATTCTGACCATAAATATTTTTTTGGGTTGTATTATCTAATTTTACATTTAAATTACAATTGAGCAATATTTTAACAAACAAAATGAGCCTATTTATGTTCAAAGCTCTAAGGAAGCTTCCCAATTAGACAACAGAGTACAACGTCGGCATTATCCGACTTCTGTGATGGTTTGGTGGGGTGTTGAATATTATGAAGGAGTGACTGAGCTATATTTTTGTGAAAAAGGTACCAAAACATCGGCCCAAGTGTATCAAGATACCATTTTGGAGAAGGTAGTTAGCCCTTTAACAGCACCATGTTCAATAACTAAGAATGGTCCTTTCAGCAGGACTCGGCGCCAGGTCATAAAGCTCGATCCACGCAATCTTGATTAGAAATCCACTTTCCGGACTTTATCAGAGCTGAAGACTGGCCATCATCTAGTCCCGATATTGATCCGCAGGATTATGATTTATGGTCAGTTTTAGAGAGTATGGCTTGCTCTAAACGCCATGATAATTTGGAGTTCCTAAAACAATCCATACGATTGGCAGTGAAGAATTTTCCCATGAATAGAGTGCGTGCTTCTATTGATAACTGGCCTTAACGTTTAAGGGACTGTATTGCAGCCAATGGAGACCACTTTGAATAAGTTTTATATATTTTTAATGATTTTATATTAATGTTTTAAACTAACACACTGTAATAGTAATAAATATTACGTGCAATAGAAAACATACTTTCTTCTTTGTAATATGACGGAGGAGGATTTAGTTACCTTTTTCTGTTATGAAACCTTATTATTGTTTAAAGTCATCTATGTTCTTTAATTTACTTTTTATTGCTTTTAAAGTTATTTTGAATTTAGAGTAGAGATTTAGTCTCGAGCGGGGTCGAGACGCCATCACGACATTCATTCTTTGGAGATACGTGGCTTAGTAACGTTGGTTGATCATGGTGGATCTTAGAGAGTTATGTTTGATATTGTAGTTGGAAGTCGATGATCGGTGACTGTGAACCCGCTGGCTCTAAATCATTAGAAATACCGTTTCCAGTTTATAACATTGTGATTTCCCTGATTAAATTGTGCATTGAGCATTGAATACTTTATTATTTGAGCACTGATAACGCCCACAAGATGAGTAACCACTAAAGATAATGTTCGTAGTATATGGATAACACGATATATATATATATATATATATATATATATATATATATATATATATATATATATAATACGTACGTGTTTCTTAACCTACTCCTCCTAAAGGACTGGACCGATTCGGATAAAATTTTGTGTGTGTTTCATTGGGCTCCTGGATAGTTTGAAAACATAGGTGGTCCCAGTAGGTGACGCTGCAGTCGGTGTCCACTCCAGTTTCCGAGCAATAAATAAATAAGTTTAAATTGTTGATTAAATAAAATAAAAATCGATGAGTGTATGTATGTTTCCTATGGACTTCGAAACAGATAGAGCGATTTTGAGTAAATTTTTACACTTATTTCCTAACAAGCATGGTATACATATTATTAGTAGTATTTACTATTTTAGAGCACATAAAACCCTCGATCCTGCGCCTTAACTCTCACCGGTCGTGTCAAGCAGTCGTCCCACCAGAGTATGAGAATGACAGGAATAGAGAGTGCACCTGTGTCTGCGCGTACACTTATGCACTATAAATTACAATATCTCCTGCGCAGTTGGCTAGTCTCAATGAGATTGGCCGCCGTGGCCGGAATCGGTCAGAAGAACATCATCAGTATTTACTACTTAACTTAAGAATTAGTTACGGCCGTAATCGTTTTTTTTTTATTGATAACACTAAAGCTGGCCAATAGCTACTAAACAAAAAAATAAGAAAATCGATTAACAGACATATAAGACGACTACTTAAAGATACATCTATTAGTTAATTTATTAAATTAATTTGATACTGAATGTCATTTTAGCATGTTGACAAATACGATACGTTTGGCTCAGTTTGTAGTGACCCTATTTGCTGTGCTAGCGGTCGCGGGTTGGAGTCCCGCTGGGCATTCATTTGTGTGATGAGCACAAATATTTGTGCTCCAGTCATGGGCGTTTATATTTATAATAATGTATAATGTGTAATCTATACATATAATAAAATTGTACCTAAGCCGAATTTGTACATTAGATATTTTTTGGAAAATCTTAATGAAATAAACAGTATTATCGATACAGAGGCCGAATACATAGTTTTTAGATTTTTGTCTGTCTGCCTGTCTCTCTGTTATCGCATCACAGAAAAACCACTGGAGGGATTTTGATGAATATTTAGTATGGTTATAGCTGGTTATACGAGTCAACATATAGGATACTTTTTACCGTGAGAAAATATCTCATTTTTGATAAAAAATACAAAAACTGCAATGTAAGAGTATAGTACATGTAAAACCTAAGAATTTGGTTTTTGGTCATCTGAACGCATGCGGAGCCGCGGACAATGCTAGTTAAAGTTATATATGGGTACCGTATCAACTATCTGGTATCCATAACACAAGCCTCGTAGCTTACCATAGAACTAGATGGTGATGTGTGTTAATGTCGCAACATATATATTTATAATGTTATTTTTTTAAATGAAGTATATATAGAAACAAGGCTTAAATTAAAAACCACCTGATCAATATATCTATGAATCGCTATATAAAAAAAGAAAATAAAAATAAAAATAAATGTAATATTTATTTTAACACATTTATTTAATATATTTTATATACAAAATCAACAACAAAGTTGTCAAAAGATATTAATAATATACATATATAATTACAGTTATATGAGGAATTAATTGTAATGGTTGTCAATAAGAAAACGGACAATAGTTTCAGCGCCTCTGTTGATTTCGTTCTGCAACAAACAAAATAAATAGACGTATTAAACGCGTATAGTACATGTTAAAGTAATACACTCATTAAGTAATTGAAATACCTTCGAATAAATCAAATGTAAATGACATGAACAGCATATTTTCAACAAAGTAAAATAAAAACTATGTAGTGTATAAATTCTTACCCTGCTCTCTTCCAAGAAGTTAGGAATTAAGACTCCAAGAATGTAGTTCAATTCCCCAGATAAGTCTTTGCCATTGATTTCTAGTGACAGGTCAGACTGAAATATGATATAAAAACATAAATTAACAAATTACTAGTATTACTTTGCGTAGCGGTTTCCAATCCAATCCAGACTGAGCATCTATAAATGAACAATATTATTCTAACAGTTATCTATATAGGTACTAATATTATAAATAGGCAGAGTTTATTTGTTTGTTTCTTTGTTTGTTTGAACGCGCTAATCTCAGAAACTACTACTAATCTGATTTGAAAAATTATTTTTGCATTAGATAGCCATTTTATTAAGGAAGGCTATAGGCTATATATCGTCATGCTACTATCCAGGGAGTGGAGCAGTAATCATAAATGTCAACAAATCGGGTAGACTTTGGTTATATATATATATATATATATATATATATATATATATATATATACATACATAATTTTTAATCAATTTTGAAGAACCGTAAATTGATTAAAAGGGCGATTTATATTACAGTTTTAACAAGTAGTCTAAGAATAAATGTAATATAGCTGCTTTGACAAATAATTACCTGAGGTACGCCAAAGTATAAATCAATTGTGATGCTGCGGACGGTGACTCCATCCAGGCCTATATTGAAGTTTATTTCACCAGCGGCACGAATACCATGGACGCTGAAGCTGTAAAAGATGAAATTAAAAATAAAATTAAAAGTTACTTTATTAATTTAGCCTTTTTAAATGGTCATACGTACGACATTATTAAACTAGGCAGATAATCTCAAATGATCTATTATAAAAGATTGTAGGGCCAATTTATTTTATTTTTTTCTTTAATGGCTTACAGCAATTTAATTTTAACAAAGTGAAAAATATGTTAATTGTTTATGTATATATTATTACTTGATAAGATATCGATGTTCTTATTAAGTTTAACAATTTAATATATGGAAAAAAGTATCAGTACTGTACCTGCCGCTAAGTAGTGCGTCAAGAGAGTATTGGAAGAATACAGCATTTACTCCAGCGCCACCTAACATAATTAAACAAAGTAAAAATATATTCAAATTTACAAAAAAACTAATTTAAACATAATATCTGAAATACTGTACATTCGAAATTAATATTTTTAATAATATATTATAACTTAAATGTAAACATATCTATATATTATATAAAAAGTGCACTCATATTTGATTTTGTTAGTTCTTACCGAGACTCATTTCAAGTCCAGGGAGTGAGACGTCGAATGTTAGTCTGTTAATAAAAGGAAGGAATTCGATGTGGTTAACATCGATTTTACTGGCTCCGACGAAGGATAAGTTTTCCAGGAAGGCTACCAATTCAATGACCCTATTAAAACAATGTAGTATATTAGATATATTTTTTTAGTTTTAGTTCTCTTTAGGATTTTATAGTATGAGAATCATAAAACCACGAAATACAAACAATTCTGTAGATAACAATATAAAAATTCATAAAAATCACAATATTAAAGTCATTGTGTACCTACAGTTTAGTAAAATTCAAAAATATAACTTACTCAGGTTCGTAAACGTGCTCAAATCTCACATTTTCGATTTCCAAAGGATCGAAACCTGCATCCCTGATGCGTGTACTAATTCGTTCAATTACATCTTTGATCCGTTCTTCTAGAGTAGGTCTCGCTGTAAAAAATTAACTTTAATTACTAAGCATAAGAAAAAACTTACATAATAACATATCAATGAATAATAACAATATAGATAGCATTTTGAGAATTCGAAAGAAGTATCATTGAATACAATAGAATTAGAATTTGTGGATGTGTATTGTTGAGTTTGTTTCTTACTCTTTTAGCCTAAAACTACTGGATTTATTAGAATGAAATTTATAGGATAGGCTATAATGAGAGCTAATAAGTCGCCAGATATGATTTTAATGTCAATTTTCATTAGAAATCTTGTGTTACAAAGTTTGTGCACACTTACGGTCATCAGATTGGGGGAAGGCGAAAGCGCCTGCAACGACTAGAAGGAGAGCGAACACAGCGGACTTCATCTTGAATTAGACTGAAAAGAAAATATTTTTATTGCAAATCGTTGTAATACGGAGAAGGAGGGAAACAAAATACTGTATCGAAATTAGTTATATATTAAATTAGTTATATATTAAAGCTATATTTTTAATGTTATTTTATAAAATTTAGATTAAATTATTAACATTGATAAAAATTCTTGTACAGTTTATCATTAAATATATTATTATCATTATATGTTATAGTTATAGCTTTACTTATATTTAGGATTATAACACATGAAACTTTCTTGTATCGAGAAATTAAAACATAATATACATATTATTACATCTATGCATATAATAAAAGTGTAACACGTTGTCTGTACATGCAACATATTTGAGACAAAACTATTATGGGGGGACTTTATTAACGCAATAGAACCCAAAACAATGATTTTTTGATTTATTGTCTATATGTTGATTTGCTTGTGGGCTTATGCGCGTTAATCTCAGAAAAAACTTAATCGATTTGAGTGCGGTTTTCCTTAATATATTTTGGTCAGCTTAATTTAACTTTTAGTGTTTGTTTTATTTTAATCGATTCATAAATAAAAAAGTTATGTCAATTTAAAAAATTACCTAGGGACGAGCCCGAGCAAAGCGAGGGTGGGGCGGTTAATAATGGGGATTAATATGACTTAGATATAAAATTCAAATGAGAAAAAATAGTAACTTACACGCAATTAAATTAATTAAACAATATTTATATATATATATATATATATATATATATATATATATATATATATATATATATATATATATATATATATATTTACATGTGGTATATATTACACTATACTCTATAAAATAGACCTTTCTTACCTTGTAATCACAATGTCAATTAGTAAGCATACGGTGTTACACAGTATTTATACTACATATCAAAGGATGGATTATATCTTATACTAATTAGCCGATATGATAAGGTTGCAATATTTTTGGTGCTAGGAACACCTGCAAGAATTAATCTGATAAAATTTATAGGATAATGTTTAAATTGAAAAAACCTAAAGTCTTAAATACTCATAAATTGATTATTTTTTAAATTGAAAAGTTGATTTAAGTAGAGCTTTAAATATTGAGTTAAAAAGAGTTAATAGTAATTTTTATATGTAGAGAAAATACTATAAAGTGAATACAGCCTAATAATTTGTAGGTGCTTTGTAAAACTTATATGAATTCTTAGTAGTAATGTCCCGGTTAGCAACTTCTTCGGACACAGCGCCAATTTCATTAGAAAGGCCAACTGCGTAGTAGATATTATAATGCACTTGTGCATTTCCTATTCGACAATTTGACATGACCAGTGAGTAAAAAGAGGTTCACAATCACGATCTGTGATCGTTGAGATCAGGCGCACGATTGACGGCTTTATGTACTTTTCGGGGCACGAAAGTTAAACAACGTCAACTTCTCACTCCTTCTCTGTCCTGTTACTGAGAATTTTAGCAGACAAACTATTACTATACTTAGCCAGACCCGGGACTCGAATCCAGGATCTCAAATTCTGCAGCCGTACATGCTAGCCACTAGATAAACTAGTAATTTAGCAGTTGAATCTTGTTAAAAGCTATACTCGGAGAAACTTCCGAATAGCCCACCCATTCCTCCGATAATCTGAATTTTGTTATATAGATGCATTTAGACGCGTTAATAACGATCATGGTATTCCAAATGGGTATAATGCAAATTTTGTTTTTCAGGCCAAATCTAAGAAAAATCGTTTTTTCAATGTATTTCGCGTTTATTGCGATAAATATTGATTTTAGAGAAAAATGTCTTCTACAGAAGTTGTAGGCCATACAAAAATTGTTATTTTTTTCAATATGTTTTCCGTGTATTCTTTTTTAGATCTTTCTTAAAAGGATTTTAATAAATTAGTTGTACTTGTCCTTTCGACGAAAAACGTTGTTTCATTACAACCCAAATAACATAACTCACTTCTAAACAAAAATCTTAAGCCAACAAAGTTTTCACTAAAAACATGAACGAAGTGAACTTAAAATTAACGGCAAAATCGAACAAAAAGTAAGAATACTATATGTAAACAGTATCACAATCTATTTATTTTTTAATAGGTGAGCGAATTTTTTGAACCCATCATTGAATAAGTCGATATCATGATATTGCTTATTATACATATTGCAGGATCTTACAATAAATGAATTGTCACAATACTTTGTTCTGGAGACAGCGGTGGAGAAATTAGCCTGAGATCGAGTGCCATGACTAGGGCATTTAAATGATATTTTATTTAGTAGGTATGGAGAGTCAATTAAATTATTGATTATTTTATAACGAAAAAGCTGATCTCTTTGTTTTCTACGCTATTCTAGGGGAACTAGTATTACTAAAAGAAGCAGAACCAAAATATCTATTTTTTTATATTTTAAAAAAAAATTGTATTTTTTCAATTAAGTCAATATATTTTTTATATTGTGAATTCCATGTAGATGCGTATTCCAGATTAGCCCTAACATATGCATTCTATAGCAATATTAGCGTATGAGTGTTTTTAAAATCTGCCCCATTTGATATGGCTTAGTTGCTACATTATTTATATGATGGTCGAATATGAGTTTACTATCCAGCTAGACTCCAATGTCCCTTACCTCTGTTACTCTGTTTAAATTAGCATTCAAGATTGAATAGTTATACGAGATTTGTTTTTTTGTATAGCATTTTTCTAAACTCAAATATAGACTGTTAGATCTAAATAAATACTGTTCGAGTCTATTTAGATCGTCTTGCAGATCAACACAATCTTGCTTATTTTTATAATTTTAAAAATCTTTGTATCATCTGCATTTATAATAATAGTATTGAACTGAAATGAATTTGAGTTTAAAAAGCATCGATATCATTAATAAATGTATTAAAAAGTAAAGGTCCCAAATGCGAACCCTGAGGCACTCTTGAAGTAGTTGGAACAAAGGAAGAGGTAAAACCTTTAATTGCCACAGCCAGGGATCGATCGTGTAGATAAGATGTTAACTATCGAAGCAGATTACCATGCATGCCGATGTATTCAAGTTTTTTTTTTAGAAGTTTATGTGAAATTTTATCAAAAGCCTTTGAACAGTCGGTGTATATAACATGTACTTGGTACCCTGAATCCATTGCATTAAATATAACATCTAAAAACTTGCAAAGATTAAACTCGGTCGATCGCAAATTGATAAATCCATTTTGATTATTTATCAACAATTGTCTCAATACTGGATATATCATATCATATATAATTTTTTCAAAAAGCTTAGGAATGGTGGACAACTTTGTGATTTCGCGGTAGTTTTTAATATTTCGTTTATCAAGAGGTTTCTAAATTGGAGTTATCAAAGACTTTTTCCATTCTGCAGGTAGACAACCGGAATTTAAAGACTTTTTAAACAGAATGATTAAACGTATACTTAAAGTGTTACTACATTGCTTCAAAAAAATTGGGTGTATAGCGTCTGGTCCACTGCCCTAATTTGTTTTTAATTTAATTAAGCATGATTTTACTTTGCTTTCTGATATGTCCAACGAAGCTATAATTGTATCAGAGCTATAATCAGACGTGAATGATGTATTTTATCTCAAAGACAGAATGAAAAAAAATTATTGAACATATTGGCGATTTTTTGTCCATCTGAGCCAGCTTGTGAATCTAGGTACATTGTATCGGGTATAGAAATGTGTTCTTTTTTAAACTTGAGACCAAAAATGTTTAGAACCAATATAAATATTGTTTTCTGCTCGTTCTAAATACAAATTGTAACAAGATATTTCTAAAAACTTTGTTTGTGCTTTAATTTCTGAAAACCTGTCGTAATCGCTTAACCTTCCATATATCTTCCATTTTTTATGCCATTTTAATCTTTTATTAATAAGACTAATTAAGTGACGTGAATACCAAATGTGATAATTATTTACTTTCGGCTGACAATTTAGATGGAACATATTTTTCAATTAAATCGTTTATGATACTATAGAAAGCATCAGTAATATGTTTGTCATTTAGTTCGAGTTTCCAGTTAATTTTTGCTAATTCTGCGTCAATCTATACATATAATAAATAAGCAAGATTGTGTTGACCGAATCTGTACATTAAATATTTTTTGGAAAATCTTATTGAAATAAACATTATTATCAATACAGAGGCCGAATCTATAGTTTTTAGAATTTTTGTCTGTCTGTTACCGCATCACAGAAAAACCACTGAAGGAATTTTGATGAAATTTGGTATGGTGATAGTTGGTTCTCCGGGTCAATATATAGGATACTTTTTACCGCGGGAAAATATCTCATTTCTGAGAAAAAAATACAAAAACTGCAATGTAAGAGTAGACTTATTGTAAAACCTAAGAATTTGGTTATTGGTCATCTAAACGCGGGCGGAGACGCGGGCAATGCTAGTAATGCTATACTCTGCATAGTGATACTTGCAGACTATACGATTATTAAGACTAAGGTTTCTTTCTATTGAATGAATATCTACCTCTACAAGAAGTGAGGGATAATGCCCATCTTCTGGTTCTGATAAAGACAACGTTCGAGATACTAAGCACTTTAAGTGAGATAGAACAAGGTCTAAAAATCTATTATTATTGTTAAGCACACAGTTATATTGCTGTAGGTCGGTAAAGCTCATAAACGAAGATAATTGGTTAGTTAGAAGTTAGAACGTACTCGGAAATCAATATTTATCGCAATAAACGCGAAAACCATTAAAAAAACGATTTTTCTTAGATTTGACCTTGAAAATAAAATTTGCGGGTATATTAAATAACATATACGTTGCAATCCATATGTATGGCTGTTCGGAACTACGAGTACAGCCCTATACTCTTTATTAGAAATAAAAATAAAAATTTCAATACGTGGAAATTTTAAACATTCCTAGAAACTAAATATAATATATCAGCGGAAGTAAGATTGTGACACTAAATAACAAAAATACGTTATATAAACACTTGCGATAGGTATTTATGTGATAATCAGTAAGCAAATTAGATGATTAATGCATTTACGGATTGTAAATATCATAGGATTAATTATATGTAGGTACTGAAAAGTAGCTTATTTAGTTATTTATGAAAAACAAGTTGAAATAGATTAAATTGTCACTTTTTATAATGCTACCGAACACATGTACTAATGTTTAATTTGATTTGAACTTTATAAATATGCTTAGCAAAGGTGTTTGCTTGTTGTTTGTATATTACTTAAATTTAATATCTATACATATAATAAAATTCCAACTGAGACCAATCTGTACATTAAATATTTTTTGGAAAATCTTATTGAAATAGACATTATTATCGATACAGAGGCCGAATCTATAGTTTTTATTAATATTATTATATAATAGTTTTTATTATTACTATTATAAATTATTTTTTCTGTCTGTCTGTTACAGCATCACAGAAAAACTACTGGAGGGATTTTGATGAAATTTGGTATGGTCATAGCTGATTATCCGTGTCAACATAATGTATTTTGGTAAGCTTCACTTAACATTTAGTATTTGTTTTCCTTCAATCGGTTGATAAATAAAAAAGGTATATCAATTTGAAGAATCACCCGTCGCTAGTTTTAAATAAAAATAATAATTAAGAAACAAATAAAAATAAATCTAAGAAATTATAAGTCATATTATTGTATATAAGGTTTTAGATAGAAGCAATTTATTCAATAGGTGTCCTTAAAGAAATTTTTTTCAAAGAATGTCTTACAAAACGGATACCACTTACAAATTGATTTTAATCCAAATAGTACATCGGTAGTAATATTAAGAAATACTTTTAGAAATCACGAAGGCCATGATTATTTCTATTTTTTATTTGCGCATGTCGTTGTTTGTTCATATTTTAATTGTGTATATGCATATTTTTTTTGGCAACATAACCCTTTTTGTAAAAAAATCTACTGCTAGATAGATGCCTTTGTCGTTATTTCCTCAATAATGACTGAATTATATAATATATAGATTTTAAATATATATTTTATTGATTTTTATTATCATATATAGAATCCCTAATACTTTTTTATAATATTTTCTTAGATTTACGCGAATATTTGCCATTTTAAATAAAACTATCTTTTCGGATTTTTTCATGAATTTATTTTGATTTTTGGTTCCTGACGTTTCGAATGCTTTACAGCAATCATGATTACGGGAGAGACTAAGGTTTAGGATGTTTCAAAGGCATTATGTAATTGTTACGGACAGGCTACCCACGAAATAACAAAATGAATTCAAAAAATTCGTTAATATGTAATAATAATTAAAATAAGGAAGTTAACTTATCTTTACCATATATCCTACATAACATCTAAAGTCTATCGCATGCTTGGGTTTATTTTAAGAGTCTGCAAGGATTTCAGATAATCCTCAACTTTGATACTACTCTATGACTCGTACGTTCGTTCTATTCTTGATATGCCTCCACTGTGTGGAACCCACAATATAAAACTTATATAAATGACTTAGATTCAGTACAGAAGAAATTCTATAAGCATCTGTGTTAGAGGGCCGATATTTCTGCTGATGTTCAACCTCTGTTTTCCCTTGTATCGCGTAGACAAGCGAGAGACCAACTTCTCTTATATAAGATAATTAATAATTTTATTGAATCACCTTTCTTATCATGTAACTTAGAATTTAACTGCTCACGATTAAATTCCAGGTATAAGCCGATAAGCAGATATAATATATATTTAAGTAAGATTTTATAAAAAATATTTAATGTACAGATTCGGCTTAGTTAGAATTTTATATGTATAGATTGTTTAAAATTATCACGTCAACTTGCTGTTCTTACGTAGGTTGTTTTTCTTTCTTGTTGTTCTATGTTGCTTTGTATTTGGTTTGTCTTTGTTAATTCTAGTGATTATGTAATAAGTACTATTAGTGGAAACTTAGCTGATGAATATATTTTTGTTTATTAGTATGGTTTAAGTACCATCTCATAGTTTGTTTCTCTAATAAAAAATAAATAAAAAATTAATTATTACTATTATTACATATTATGGATAATAAAATATTTTTTGTCTAATAAATTTTTTTTATTTTTATTTTTAAACACAATTATTAATATATAAAGTTAAAGGTGTTGTTTGTTTGAATGCACTAATTTCTGGAACTTCAGTCTAATTCGAAAAATTTAATGTGTTTTTATAACTTATTTGTTACTTATTATAGACTATACAACGTCGAGCTGAGCAATTATCAATTTACGATTTTATCATAACTTGATAATTATAAGTTAACTTAATTTTTAAGTCACCTTTATCAGTTTGATACAATCGCTATATGTACTTTTTGAAAATATTCTTTTATACAACAAACAATAAGCGTATATCCAAAATAGTAAAACTGAACAATTTAAAACAAACTTTTATTTTGTTTTATTAAATCGAAATAATGTTAATTAAAAAGAAAAATAAATAAAAAATTAAAATTATTTCATATTATTTATTAAAAAATGATAAACAATAATGTCAATTTTATTGCTTATACTTAAGATGTTATCGTACAACTGCACTTCATTACTGATGGAACAGATAAATTGGTCAACAGTTTACGACATTTAACACCAGTCTATACATATTTACAAAGCAATATCCAAAATTCGGCGGACGAAGAATTCAAGAAAACGGTTTATTTCGTTCTGAAAGAAAAAAAACATTAATCAAAAACTACTGAATTTTCAATCGATTTTTTTCATCTAAATGGCTTACTTATGAGTATTCTTTGATGAAGAATAATTTATCGCAGGTTAAAGAAAAATATACATGAGTTAATTTCTCACCCCGAATCTTTCCAAGGAATCAGGAATTTGCACTCCAAGAAGTGTGTTCAGGAACTCTGATAAATCCTTGTTCAACGCAACGAGTGTCAGGTTAGACTGAAATAATTTATAAATTAGTACTAAAAGTACCTACACAAAAATACTCCAAAAAGATAGATTTCATATAAACTTTCATCCCCTATTTTACCCCCTTATGGGATGAATTTTGAAAATGCTAAAACACGTTTTTATTTAATTGTATTGCATTAGTACCAAGTTTCAAGTAATTTTGATCATAAATATTTTTGGGTAATAATTTCCCGTGCGAATGAGATTATCTCCCGCGGTAAAAAGTATGGCACTAAGCTTTTACATTTATAATATTATAGTATGGATAAAACACAGTCTTCCAAATTTAAAATATAGCAGGTAAATATATTTGATAAAATATTCCATAAGATGCGTGTTTGTTACTTTGGTGTCATGCATTAATAAAATAATAATATAGTACATTATTTTTTATGTATATTATTATTTTATATTTTTTTTAAATCAAAGTAATAGTTAGTTTCACACTTACTTCAGTTCTGCCGAAGCGCATGTCAATGGTGATGGTGCGAACACTAACGCCATCCCAGTCTAAATTGAAGCCAATTTCACCACCAAGAGTAATACCTCTGACAGCGAGACTGTATAAAATAATAAAATACGTGTTTTTACGTATAAAAATAATAGAATAAAAAAAAAACAAAAAAAAAAAACAAAAAAAATTACCTGCCACTGAGTCTTACACTGTCAATATTATCAAGCAATATAATATCTACTCCGGCGTTACCTTAAAAATAAATATAATTCATATATAAGATAATATTCAAGAACTTGTACCGTAAAAGCAATGTGTTGTGTAAATATATGTAAAATTTACTATAAAAAGTATAGAATGTTTGAATAAATTGCTGTTTTTCTTACCAATATTCAAAACAAGTTCAGGGAGAGAGAACTCGAACCTCAGTCTTGATAGCAAAACGTTATAATCCAAATAGTTGATAGCGATATTGCTGCCACCGGAGAAGCTTATGTCATTGCCAAAGACTCTGCCTTCGAAGATTCTATTGTGTGTCAAAAACAAAAAAATATTAATTTCAATGTAGATTTAGATTTAAAAGTATTGTAGAAAAATAAACAAAATATAAAAAGAGATTTTAAGAAAATATATATAAAAACATATCAAAAACTAGCAGAACCCGCGGCTTCGCTCGCGCTAAAACTAAAAAAAATCTCTAAAAAGGTAGTTTCATACTAACTTTCATCCCCTGTTTTACCCCTTTATACGATGAATTTTGAAAAATGCTAAAACACGTATTTATTTAATTTTATTGAAGAGCATTAATACCAAGTTTCAAGTAATTCTGATGATAAATATTTTTTTGGATTGTATTATAACGTACTTTCCTGTGGGAATTAGATAATCTCTCGGGGTAAAAAGTAGCCTATGTCACTCTCCAGCCCTCCAACTATCTCCACACAAAAAATCACGCCAATCCGTCACTTCGTTTCAACGTGAAAGAAGGACAAATAAACAAACAAACAAACAAACAAACAAACAAACAAACAAACAAACAAACAAACAAACACACTTTCATATTTATAATATTAGTATAGATATCTAAAATCTTGATACATTTAATTCATATGAATGCAAACCAAAGTAAAGTTTTACCTATAAAAGGCTAAATAGAAGAACACAATTAAAAATTCTACAGTAAAAAAGATTTAATTTCCAATATTCGTAAATATCTATCTATATAACTGAATAAAGAATAGATTAAATAAAATCAGTGTTAAAATAATAACTTACCCTGGGAGAGGTGCAAAAACGGTTTCGGATTCCACAATTTCTAGAGGATCTAAACCAAGGAGTCTAATTAGCGCGCTCAATCTTTTAATACCAGTCTCGATCCGATCTTCTACGGCACCTGATAATCTTGAGCCTTGAAGAAGAAAATTTTACTATATACATATTGCTTTTAATAATAATAAGTTTGTCGAAATTGAATAATTTAAACACCAGCCCTATGAAACAATCTATGTGCTTGCCACATATAAATCAAGCGCGGATCCAGAGGAGGGGGGGGGGGTGTTGGTTCATGTGGGTCATCCCCCAAGCCAAATATACCTTTTGAAGAAGTTTGAAATTTAAGAAAAGAAGGATTAATACAAAATGATGTTTTAAGTACTTAATTCGAAACAAATTAAGTGACCAAGGGAAATAGGGATTCATTTTTGTATATATAAGATTTCACCTATGACAAAAATTTAATCCTGAATCCGCGCCTGATATAAATCAGTGGTTTAAGGTTGGAAAAAGATATGAATTAATTCTAATAAATGAACTACATAATAAATATAGGCCAATTATAATAAATACTATTTATCTTGTATACGTAAGTGATAACAGATAATTATAATTTATAAGTGAAGTTAAGTGATCAATTCTAATAAATTGGGAATAAATAACATAAATCATTGATATATAAAAACCATATCAAAGATATTAATATATCTCTTAAAATAATAACTTAAAATTATAATCTTTGTTTGATGCTTACTGTCGTCAACCTTGGGGAAGGCGAAGGCGCCTGCGACGAGCAGTAGGATAGCGAAAACCGAGGATTTCATTTTGATATGTAATTAGACTGAAAAAAAAATTATCAATAAAACTATTTTTTGCTTTAAAACAAAAGTGAGATATGATCCGAAAAAGAATACACGCGAAATAATAAGAAAAATCCACGCGAAAATCTAATTATTATACCCAATCACCGACCTATTGGCCATCTTTCGATCGATATTTGTCGTACTTACGTTAAAAATTATGTAATTTTTATTCCATTTATTTTAGAAAAAACAAATATTTAAAAGGGTGAAAAGTTTCCGACGTAAGTTACTACGAAATTTCCTATGAGAGTTACAGTTACTAAGAAAGCGTTAGCTACTCGATGCTATTTTATTCTTTTAATTATTTTTTCGTCGCGGTGCACCGTAAAACTAGTTTGAGGACATAGACGACACTTAAAAAAATAAAAAATATTCGTACTATGGTGTCCTAAAGTGTCACATTTCTGAAATATAGAGTAAAGATCGCATATACTCGTATACGGATTATGTATATAAATTACTTAATTAGTTAATTTTTAAATGATTGTCATCGTTTCTATATGCCAATCTTTACTTTCAAATATTTTTAAAACGTAAAAAGCTGCATATTTTTTTATTTATCTTTTAATGTCGTCCGCATATACCAACCAGTTTTACAGTATGCCTTAAGCTTATAAAAAAAAACATAATATTTTAAATGAAAAGTTATCTCTTCGGATTTGCCGGCGGATTTATTTTGATTTCTAGTTTCCGAATGCTTTACAGCAATAACACGAGAAATTCTCCCAAAAAAAAGGCGAAAAAATCCAAAAAGATATTTTTTTAAATGTCAAATATTCGTGTAAATTCATAAAAAAATATTGATGAAAAAAGACAGCATTATAAAATTCATGGTGATGACAATGCCACAAGAATTTGTCTCATAAACAGCACATGATATTCCCCACGTGATAGTCCCATCAGTCGTACGTTTCACATTTAACTTCAATAACATTATTTAAAAAAATCTAATGGTATAAATTAACACCATGTGTATTCTAAAAAAATATTTATAAGAAGCACTACAACATTTATATTACTTACCTTCTAATAACAATATCTACTGTGGAACTTCAGTACTTTATATACTTATTCAAGTGATATATTTAATCTTAATATGATAAATTATATGCAATAACTTGGTACTGAAACACCTGTTAAAATTAATTAGATAATAATTTTAGAATTCCGTATTTAGATATGAAAACTGAGCATTCCTTTTTCTTGACAAAATTATTTTAACGTTAGAAAAAGGAAACTGTTGTGTTCTAAATCTTTACCAAGATGATATACATATTAAGAAGACAACTTGAAGACACATTAAAAAAATCATTTTTGCATTCAAGAGTGGAAAGTTAGAACTCGCTTATCTAGTAAATTATTATAAAACTATACCTTGTATTCGGGATATTTGTGAGTCCCCAAATATGCGTTCACCTTGTCATTAACGTTCGACAATCCAGCCGGGCGCGAAGCCATCAAACGCGCTGGGAGGCGGCCCACCTCGGTGGACGGTGTGCCATGCGAGATGCTTCTGGTACTCCTCTGATAGCAGACTGGACCGTTGGAGCAACCCCATGGTTGTTGTGGTCTGCTTTGGAAGATCTGCCGTCGCGTCGGGGCGTCGTGGTTGAGTGCATAAACGATCCTGCGACGCCCCATTAAGACAGGGGAGGTTTTATTGGGTTTTAATGAATATTACTGGCTTCTCTAGTCGGTGAGTCCCGCAAAACTACTATTAAAAAAAAGGATATTTGATAGTAACTTAAAATTAATCTATACATATAACAAAATTCTAACTAAGGCTAATCTGTATGTTAAATATTTTTTGGAAAACTTATTGAAATAGACATCATTATCGATACAGAGGCCGAATCTATAGTTTTTAGAATTTTTGTCTGTCTGTATGTCAGTCTGCCTGTCTATTGCCGCATCACAGAAAAACCACTGGAGAGATTTTCATAAAATTTTGTATGGTGATATCTGGTTATCTGGGTCAATATATAGGATACTTTTTACCGCGGGAAAATGTCTCATTTCTGAGAAAAAATACAAAAACTGCAATGTAAGAGTATACTAATATATGTAAAACCTAAGAATTTGGTTTTTGGTCATCTGAACGCGGGCGAAGCCGCGGACAATGCTAGTAATGCTAGTATAATAAATATAATATATGTATTTGGACGTTTGATTATCTCCTTGCACACACATATACAGCGAACACGCAATCTCACACATGCCACCATGGGCGTACCCAGCTTTTGGTCCAGGGGGGGGCAAAACTTGCTCCCCCCCTCGTCCCCTGTGCTTGTTTTTCTCTACACACTATATGAAGACTAAAAAAATCCGCATGTCCATTTTTATTTAGCGGATACTTTTTATTATTGTTCAACAGATTGCACGCTGCACACAATATCAACCAGATTTTTTAAATACCATATAGATAGATAAACGATTTACCGGATTTTGTTCGCAATTTCATGGATTTTTTTTTGCACGGAACCTAATTATTTAAAAAAATAAAAATAGCCGAGTTTTAGCGATTACCAGGGTGCGCCGGCGTTCGATTGAAGCGCGCCCAGTTTAAGCTTAACGCTGTTTAATATGTTCATCCATATAGATGTCTCAACTTACATTGGCAGCGTATTTTATGAAATTATCAATTTTTGAGTTTGTTGTGTCCATATAAACTTTCAATCATCATCGTTTTACAAACTACATATTATAATATAATTAAACAAAGTTTCAGCCAAATCAACTCAACAGTATTTTATATATAGCATTATTAAAATTATACTTCTTTTGCTATGCGATGCGACAGATTTGGACTACGGTATGAAGTTAGTGGTTATTGACTACAATGTGAAGTTTTTTATTTTTTATTTTATTTCTATATACACAACACGTGTGTTATATCGATAAATATAAAAATTATTACAAGCTTTTATTTAGTTTCATCTGTATCAGTGTATATCTGTAATCAAATCTTAAATTTGATCCACTTCCAATAGTCCGATTGAGCTGAAATTTGGAAATTTGTTTTCACCAAATATCGTAAATGTTTTTTTTTTTGTAAAAGATAAAAATAAAACACCAAAAACTTGAATTTTTCACATAAATTTTGAGGTTATGTGAAAAAGTGTAAATACATCGTTATATATATTTTTATTACCTACAACTTTGCCATTTAACTTTTTTCCATAGGACTTGTAGTTTTGCCGGAAATAGAGAAACCGTTTTTTACCCTTAAAACTCACCCCCACCAACTTCCCGACGCCAGATCGCCCGTAAATTATTTTTCCTTTCATTTTTGTTATATTCTCTTCCGTTTCCAATGGGATTCATCCTACTATTTTTTTTTCCCTTTTACCATTTTCAAAGGCTTCAGGTCTATATGGATATCAAGTGGAAGGATTTGCTGAGAAGAATACGAAAAAAAAGTAAAAAAAAACATTAAAAAAAATTAAAACATTACAAAACACAAGCTTTTATTTAGATGCTCTAAAAAAAACAAAGAAGTATAACTTCTTGCGTGCGTAAATAAGTATACACAACTTTTTTTCCAATAAATGTTTCTTGTGTTTTTTTATTAATTTGACATAACTTTTTTATTTATGAACCGATTTAAATAAAACAAATACTAAATGTTAAGTGAAGCTTACCATAAAATACATTCGTCGAAACCGCATACAAATCGGTTAAGCCGTTTCTGAGATTAGCACGCACATACGCACAGACAAACAGACAAAAATTCTAAAAATCATTGTTTTGGGTTCTATCGCGTTAATAGAAACCCCCAATAATAGTTTTTCTCAAATATCTCCCATGTACAGACAGCGATCAGTTACAATTTATTATATGTATAGATACGGGCATTGATTATTTTTAGTCACCTACTTTTAGCCCTTTCAAAACAATAACATGTCAAATAAGTACGAGCTCGCAGGCCAGTACACAAACGCTAGACAAGATTCGATAATCTTCGTAAGTCGTTGGCGCGACAGCGAGTGGCTGGTGAGCGTGGAGCTCACCGGTCGCTTACTGCTCTAGCGTTTTGTATAAATACAAGCTTACCAGGCGCGCAGCGCAATTTTTTTATACACATAATATATTGTAAAGTAATTCGTAACACTCGTAACCTGACTCAAACATAACTTTATCGACAACAGTAGGTACGTAGACATACACGATCCAGGGGGAGGGGGGCAGCTGCCCTCCCCCCCCCCCTCCCCCCTGCCCCTACCTGTTTACGCCCATGCATGCCACAGACTAAAGGCAAGATAAGTCTGTATAAGCCAAATGAATTTTTAAAAGATGCGGAACCTTTAAGACGTATGTAGACAATGACATAATAAAAAATACAAAATAAAGTTTTTAAGTATTTGACAACCCTGACAATCGCCAGCTGTTTTTAATAAAAATACGACTATCTTTTAAATACTTTGGTATTAAATCCCGATATCTTCAAACGTTGCTAAGTCCTGCTATCTCTGACAAAAAAATATAATTATAATATATGTTCTTGCCACATATAAATCAGTGGTTTAACCATGAAAAAGATATTCGAAACGTCGGGAACCAAAAATCAAAAAAAATTCGCGAAAAATCCGAAAAGATAGTTTTATTTAAAACATGAAAAAGACACAATATATATTTTAAAATTTATATATTTATAAAAAATATGAATTCATTCTAAAAAATAATCTGAAAAGTAAATATAGGCCAATTATAATAAATACATATGTATATATCTTTTTTTTTTTTTATTCTTATTATTTAAAGGTCTTTGAATCTCTTGAGATTATGCCAGACCTATCGTATCACAAAAACATATATTCATCTACATAGCTGTTGCTTCCTTAAATATTTTTATCATTTCATTAAAAACTAATTTAGCTTGTTCTCTTACAGGAGTAGCAAGTATGCTATGAAATCTACTAACATCTTTAACATTAAAATTAAAATTTTTAATCAAATTATTT